GAAAGGGTGTACCTTCGATTTCTCCCCATGTCATGAGCGGTGAAAACGCTTCACCTGGTCGTGGTGATGGCGTCTTCACTAAATTAAACCCCCGAACCTGCGGTCCCTCGCCTTCGTCACCAAACGTTATGGCATTACCATCTAGTCCAATTTTATTAATTAGCGCCTGAGATTGGTTTTTAGCTAACTCATTGTTTGATTTAGGAGTAGCAGGCTCAACAAAAGGATTACTGCTAAGTCGTGTGGCACTGTGTTGTATTATTTCCCGCTGTTTGGCAGCTTCCACACGTTCCTTTTCAGTAAGTTCTACACCATCAGGTATATACATAATAGAGTTTTTGTTTGTGTAGCTCCATGTTTCAATCTGTAAAAACAAAAAACAGATTTAGTACCCTTAAAGTGCTAAATATGAATACACAGTCAAAGGGATTTAATAGTATTTGTTTTAAACAACCTTTCGCAATGGATCTGGTTCCTCAAACTGCTTTTCAATGGATGGTAGCGTTAACGCCCGCGCCAATTTATCAGCCGACAGTTTTTCTTCATTATACAGTACAGCAAATTTTTGTCGTAGTTTTTCATCGGCAGTATCGATAATTTCTTGAAAACTATGGTTGTCTTCGCTTGTGTAATGCTGCAGAAAAGAATCCAATGAATGCTTATCCGCTACAGACTTTGGTTCCGTTCCAGTTTTTGACGCTTTCGAGCAGCTGGATATAGCTGACTTCGGTGTATCCGAGGCAGCACCACTGCCCTCAAGACGCGGTGTCATAATACCAGTTGCACTTGCCGGTGTCTCAAATGTGGCCGGCGACATGGCTGTGGATAAAAATGTTAATTAATATGTCCATATGCATACTTTAATTAGCGTTTATTCTTATACTTACAGCCTCGATCGGTGGGCCTGCGCCCACTATACTTGGCACGTATGGCCTCCATTTGTGCGTAATCTTTGCGGTCCATCGCATCGAGGTAGTCATTTTGTGCACGCAATTTATCCAAGTGTGGGAAGAAGTCACGTTGTATAATTTTGGAAAGCTCATCAATGTACATTTCCTCTGTTAGTATCTTCTGTTTGGTTTTCTTGCGCACTGCCCCAGCGGTAGGCACTTTAAAGTCTTGCAGTGCGCTGTCACGTTCCTTCAGTTTTACAAGTGCTTGACTCCCAGGCGTGTTTGGGGTAGGTGGTTCACCCATTATGGCGTTTGCCTTATAATATGGCTTATAGGGCATTCGCACGAGGCGATTTTACAGGCAACAAAAGTTGAATACGTAGTTGAATGAGAAGTTGAAAGTGAAAAAGTTGCCATCCCTATTCAGACGAGGCGATTTTGGATTCAACACGAATCGTTATTTACATTATCGAAAATGAATTTAAATCGCAAAATTTTATCAATTGGCGTAAATTTGGTAAGCCAAGCGTTGGTAGAAGTGCTTTTAGCGAAGCTGAAAGATAAAATAAGAGTAAAAAAGTCAAAAAGAATAAAAGTATGTATACAGAACAGTGTTGGCATTTTTGGTACAATTGTACTTGTTTGATACAATTTCCTTTACAATATACTTTCCTACTACGCAGTACTTTTTAGTAAAATTTTGTAATGAATACTAAAAATATATAGCTCTGAAAATTCAGTTCGCCTGTTCGTAAGTTTTGAAAAATGGCTTGAACGAACCAGTATAACATAGCCTAGCCAAATTTTTAAAGAAACTTTTCGATACTAAGTTTTATTAAAACAAAATGTCAAAGTCAGCTTCATATAGAAACAAAGTCTTCGTTAGTTATAAGAAGAGATTTTCTTAAATATAATACCTTTACATATTGACAAGGTTTTACTATTTATTATATTATTCTTTAATTTTAACTATCTGTTTATAAACTATAGTGTATTTTTTAAGAAAAACTGTATAAACCCAAGATTAAATATTTGCGAAACATCCAAAAACCAACATACTGTCGTAAAAATTTCGAGCTTTATTAATATTCTTTAGTTTTTAGCCCATTCAATTTTAGTATAATAAAGTGCAAGTTTAAAGTAGCTGGGACTTACCGTTGAACTTGGCAATTTTGTTTTGTCGACGATGTCAGCCATTTTCTTCCATACGAAGTGTGTTCGACGATTTTTTTATATGGAGGAAATTAGCAACACCTTCATCAAAGAAATCTTAAAAAACTTAGTTATATTAAAATTCAATGGGCTAAAAAACCACACACTCAAAATAAATCTAGGAAATCGAATTAAGTAGATCGAAATTTTTACGAAAGTGTGTTGGTTTTTTAAATGTTGCACAAAGTTTGAACCTTGGATTTGTACGGCTTTTCTTAAAATATAAAGCGTATTTTTACAAAAAATAATTAAAATTGAATAATATTAAGATAAATGGTCAAATCTTCTCGCAAAGTTTTGATAAGCACTTGAAATTCTATTAAAATGTCAAATTTTAGTACTGAATCCAAAGAAAATGTCTCTTTTATCCATTAATAATAACTTAAATATGCTTTTTGTTAAGATGTATACCTGAAAATGTGTGCATACATATTTGCGTTAAATGCAATACATGTGCACGTGGAATCAATTTGTAAAAGTGTAAAATACGTAAACGTATGTACATAAACAATAAAACTTTCTCATGAATACCATAAAATCATTGGTCTTGAAGGGAATGTACTAAGAAAATATATGAGCGAATTAAAAAGTGTATACAATTTATAGCCGAAAAGTACATTTTTTGTATAGATTTCGTACTGAAGGAACAATTTCATATCGCAACACTGATACAGAATGTAAACAAACACAGGGTTGCAAGGAAAAAAAGTTGAACGAGCTAAAAGTTGGCTGGCGACCAACTTTGTTGAAAGCGATTAGTTGAAAGGCCGTTCGGACGAGGCGATTTTTGCTTTCAACTAAAAGTTGCCTGAAAAATCGCCTCGTGCGAATGTCCTATTAGGCTAACAAGAAATTGAAAATTGAAGATTTTACGTATAATGAAGGCTTTGTATACGATTAAACTAATTTCGCACTAACTAGCGGCCAGCTGATTTTGACGTTTCAAGTGCTGCCAAGTGTTCGTATACATGGAACGGACCGGAAGCTGTTGTGGATGGTATTTAGCACACATCCTAAATTTTTGGCGCCAATTGCTCTTCTATTCCTATTTTCGTGTCGTAAAAATATTTAAAGTGAAAATATTATTGCAAAATAAGACTTTGTTAATTTTTGCCGGTTATTTGTTTGCCGCCGCGTCGCATTAATAATTTCAGAAATGGCTAAATTTGTGGGTAAGTCTTCTTCACCATTAACATACATATATAAGCTTTCACATTTCATTAGTTTAAATCGTGCATTAGGAACTTAATAACATTTTTGGTAGCTTTTAAATAGCTGTAATTGCATAGAGTTTCTTCCTTTTTGTTATTTTTCTGCAATGATAAGCGAGCACCTTTGTCAATGTCAAGTCGTTGCCTGATCTCGACATTGTTGTTTAAGCATCACCTCTAATGGGTATTATAAGGTATCACATTTTCATCTTCCGACTAGGCAAGACATATATAGTGGGTAAAGGCTGACGACAGAAAGGAATACCAATAAATAATTCGTCTCAAAGGAGTCTTTTAGCCATTTGTGCGGGTTTGTTATATTCCGCCGTTGTTTGGTGGGAAGAGGTATACATATGTAGGTAACGCTCGCATCTTTTTTCCGACAAAAAATATAAAAAAGAATTTTTTTACTGTACAGTGTTTTTAAAACAGTTTGCTGATAAAATAAAGAAATTCCTTTGTACGACAATTTGTAAAAAAGCAACAGAAATTCCTAGCTTATTGAAACATTATTAGTTGCGTTCCAGATGCTTCACGATTTGCAGATTTTACAGGATTTGCAGGAACAGCTGTTTTCGCCATTTTTATACCTTATGCAAGGTGACCACCTGGAACAGCTCGCTGTAAAAACCTGCAAATCGTGAAGCATCTGGAACGCAACTATTACTAGAATTTAATGGGCTAGAAAACTGCATACTTTGAACTTTTCTAAAAATGAATACAAAGTTTGTTGTGAGATTTTTAAATTTCTCTACAAAGTTTAAAATGTGGATTTATATCTCTGGATTTACATATGTACATATGTATGAATATGTATAATTAACTGGACTTTAATAAAAAATTAATAAACATTACACAAGCGAAAAAAAATAGTCAAAACTGACCAAAATGTCGTGCCATGTCGTGCCATGTCGTGTCGTGTCGTGTCTTTTCAAAAATGTCAAAATTTATTTTTTTCGTTGATGTTTGATTGAAGCATTTTCTATGCTATTCCTAAAACAGTTTAAATCAAAGTTTTAAACCAAAGAACATTTTTTTTTAATTTTCATTAAATTTTTTAACTATTTGATATGAACTTGTAAAATTTAATACAACAAACTGCTGGTTTCAAGACTAAAAAATACTTTGATTCAAGATTTTTTTGCTGATAGTCTTTTCCAGTTTTTCGATATAAATAGATATATGTATGTATGTATGTACATATTTTATGGAATAAAATGCGCAAGATTATTTTCAAACATACATTTAATCTGCGCAAATTTTCATAATATACATATGTATGCATGTATTTATATTTTTTACATATAAAAACAGTAAGCGCGATTTTTAGGGTCTTAAAACTTGCACTCAGAAGTATTTTTTTTAAGAGTTTTTCAAAATTTTTCTTTTGTTTAAAACTTTGATCAAAGCTGTTTTAGCTATAGCATGGACAATATTTTAGTCAAAAATCAAAGAAAAGTTTTAATATGAAAAACATGTTAACATTTAAAATAATAGCCATTTTGACATTTCTGGTCCCCACTGTATATGCATTTTTATAACGCGTTTCCACGGACAATTCGCTAATATCTTGTTTTACGAGAGTCTTATCCGGTCACACAATAAAAATGCCGGCTTAATTAGCGGGTACGCACGTGGAACTGGCGCACAATGGTCCAAAACTAGAATTGCTGTTCAAAATAGTCCGGAGCATGTTGAGCCTGATTTTGGAAGTTTTATTTTATTACATGAAATTTTTTAGTGAAAAGTGCAGAAAAAGTAGCAGTTTTGAAGAAAATCGACTATCGTGTTCCTGGTAATGAATGTTAGATATTAAAGACTATTTGAAAACAACTAGGATTTCCCCAAAACATTTTTTTAATTTATAGATAAATTTAAGTTATGCAGCTTTATTCCCGCTCACTTTATGTATGTATGTATATGGAATAAAATTCCTAGCACCGTCATAAAAAAAAAATAAATTATTAAAAACCAACGCGAATTCTTAGCCACTCGAAACTTCTACTTATACTATATAAAATTTAGTGACCTATAAAATTGCATACCTAAAGTTAAAAATAAATTCCAGTTTTGGACCACTGTGCGACGACGTTTTACTCACAACCGTAAGGACAACAAGGTCTTCATCTTGCGCCGCGAATTCGCTTACTATGTTACTTTGTTGTTGTTGTTGCAGAGGCTACACAACTCCGCCTAGATGGGCTAGTCCCAAAATCGTTGTCGTCGAACTCAACTAACAGAAAACCCAGGTAGCGTGCAGTTTCTATGGGGTTGGTCCATAGGGACAGAGGCGTTAGCTGAGTGAGGTTTAGTTGGCATGTGAAGAGATTTCTCGAGTCCGTATGCCGTCCACTCGTTGGGCAAATCTGCATCTAATCTGTTCAGGTACGAGTTTAGGCTATTGTGTTTCCAAAACGGCATTCACGGGTCTAGAGTCAGTGTAGGTCAGTACTGATACCCTATGAATACCGTCTATGGCCTGTCGGGTCCGGAGGTTGCTTTATGAATCTGTGGACTTCGTCCGTCAGTTCGTATAGATGCTTCCGACGTGCCTTGGGGAGGGCTCCGGTGCAAGCAAGTGTCTGTTTGGGTGCCCACGTCGGTGACACCCTACTAGGAATTGCTTACAGAGCTTATGTTATGCTCTCTAACGGAGAGGTAACCGTTTACGTTCGAGCACAAATCATCAATTCCATTCCCAGACGCCATTATCGAGCAGTCGTCAGCATAAGAGACAGTCGAGACTCCCTGTGGAGGCTTAGGGAGCTTTGAAAAATTAAGGGGTTGACAGTAGCAGGGAAAGGACACCACCCTGTGGGACCCCTGTTTAATTTTTCTTGGCTTGCTTGCTTTGTCTCTAAAAGTAATTGACGAGGGTCGACCACTCAGATAATTCGCCGGGAGAGAGGAAGCCTCAATGTCTTCTAGTACGTGGAGTGACTGACGGTGTCAAACGCTTTTGACAAATCCAACACTACTAGGACTGTTCTCTCAAAGAGGCGGTTTCGGTTTAGGCCACGTGTATCTGAGTGTTTATGGCGTTAAGTGCTGTTGTTGTGCTGTGCACTTTACGGAACCCATGCTGATGCCTCGCAGGGGACAGATGGCTCATGTAGTGTGGGAGTAGTAAGGCCTTTAGTGTCTTCGATACCGGAGAAAGGAGGGTTATTGAACGACATGACTCTCCCTTGTTGGCCCATTTTCCATATTCCGTCGAATCCCATGGCTTTGGAGGCTTTTGCCCTCCCGATGGCTACCTGAACATCGCCGCTGGTGAAAGCAAGATGTGCAGCCTTCTGATGACGACGTATCGCTTTGTCCACCGGAGGATGCAGTGTGAACTGTCGGCTAAAATAGCTCTCGTATTCGCTCCGGCTCCGGCGTGGTCGCCGAAAGAGATTTCGACTCTGTCATCACGCTTCATCGGGCTGGACAGTGACTACACGGTTGACCAAAGCTTACTCACACCAGAGGTGAAGTTGCAAGTCTTCAGGTTGTCTTCCCACTTTTCTCGCTTATGTACGTTTACAAGTTCCCGAATCGCCGTATTAAGATCCCTAATGCGGGGATTGCCGGGGTCAGCCTGACGAAGGTTGTCACGCTCATCAGCTACGGCAGCCGCTTCGGCGGAAAAATTCGAACGAGGGTCCGAAATACATCTGGCTGGGATGACAGTATTGAAATGCTGTGCAACTTTGTCTCTTGGACCGCAGCTATTAATATTCCATGCCGACCCACAAATACGGTTATGTCCTAGATCTTACTATGTCCCGTTACGGAATATCCTGGTGTGACACACCGAGCAGATTGTTGCAGGAACAACTCCTGGTTGTGGGCGGCGGCGTGTGGGTGGTGGTGCGGTTATGTCTGTGGTGTGGTCTATTGTGTTGTGTTGTGGTGCGGTCGTGTTTGTGTTGAGTTTCTCAGGCGGACTAACCGTGGAGGCAGCTCGGTTTGAACAGTAAGGAGCCACGTATGACTTGGTCCATTGCCGATGAGTCCTTAGGTCTGAGAAGGCTCGGTGGTGACTCCACCCGTTACAGGTATTACACCTGACTGAGGTGGAGTTTGGATGCAGTTGCGTCTGGCACACGCAGCAGGTGTAGGTTTCTGGCTAAGGGTTTGACTCGATATCATCCCTGAGCAGAAGAGTGCGGAGTGGATGTAGTCTAATGGGGTTAGATTGCCGACACAACAGCTTTTGGTCGGGTAAGGTCTTATCGAGCGCTAAAGCCCACCGTGAATGAAGTTATAGGGGCACTTGGGAGTTACAAGCGACTTCAGTTGGAGCAAAATATAAGTTACATACTGGCATGCTTTATTGGCCTCGGCCAAAATCACTTGGAGGGTTATGGAAATGAGAAAACCAGCTGCAACGCCAAAGTATTATTTCTTGATTGGGCATTGCGATTTTTCAACATGGCACAAAATGAAGTTCAATGTAATTTATGTACTGGCTCGATGTTATGAGTTTTCAACCCACTGACAAGCATATGTATGGCATATTATTTATTGACTTATTTAGTTGGATATGCAGGCGCTGTCTTTTGGACATATAACTTTCAATGCCTCAATATCTAAAACATTTTGTCAACTTTTGACACAGCAACACAGAAACTACATATGTATTTCATTCGTACGCTGCAACAGGAAGGAAAACTCTAGTGAGTTCCGCCGGCAGAAAAATGCCAAGAAACAGCATTCGAGTATTCGAGTGAACAAA